GTTCCAGCAGCCTATGCTGGAGTTCTCTGGGGCTTGCGAAGGCTGTGGTGAGACCCCTTATGCTAAGCTGGTTACGCAGCTGTTCGGTGAGCGTATGGTCATTGCCAACGCCTCGGGTTGTTCTTCAGTCTGGGCTGGTACTGCTGCCTTCAACCCACTAGCTGTTAACGACAAGGGTCAGGGTCCGGCATGGGGCAGATCTCTCTTCGAGGATGCCGCTGAGTACGGTCTTGGTATGGCTCGTGCCGTCCAAGAGCGTCGTCTTAATCTCAAGGAGAAGGTTCAGGAGTTGGTTGATGACGAGGAGTACAAAGCCTTGCTCAGCCCTGAGCTCGACAATGCATGTCATGAGTGGTTGGAGAAGTACAATGACTCTGTCATCTGCCAGGAGCTCTCTGGTGAGATCCCCGGTATGCTGGAGAACACCAGTGCCCTACGAGAGGTTCCATTGGTCCAGGAGATTCTTTCTATGAGGGACCTCTTCCCGAAGGTCTCCCAATGGGTGTGGGGTGGCGATGGTTGGGCGTATGATATCGGCTTTGGCGGTCTGGATCACGTCTTGGCTTCCCAGACAGATCTCAACGTGCTGGTCATGGACACTGAGGGCTATTCTAATACCGGTGGTCAGGTCTCGAAGTCTACCAATTTGGGTGCAGTTCAGAAGTTTGCTCCCACAGGGTATCGCCGCGCTAAGAAGGACCTTGGTGCCATCGCTATCGCCTATGGGGACGTGTATGTGGCGTCTATCGCCATTGGTGCAAACTATGCTCAGTCGGTGAAGGCTTTGGTCGAGGCTGAGGCCTTCCCTGGTCCATCCCTGGTGCTCTGTTATTCGCCTTGTATTGAGCATAAGATCCTCTATCCTCGTGGTCTATCAAGACTGGCCGAAGAAATGAAGAAGGCTGTGGACTCTGGCTACTGGACGCTGTATCGTTACAACCCTGCTTTGGTTCCACAAGGTCACAATCCTTTCACCCTCGACTCTAAGCATCTCTCTATCGACGTGGCCCAGTTCACCAAGCTCGAGAACCGCTTTGAGATCCTAAAGCGTACTCATCCTGAGGTCGCTGAACAGCTCAAGGCGAGCCTTCAACAGTGGACGAGAGAACGTCTGGAGAACTATAAGTGGATGGAGAAGCGTGGTGCTCCTTCTGAGGATGCTGCTGGTCCCGCCCTGGACATCCTTGTCGGTTCGGACACTGGTACCACCACTGAGCTGGCTAGCCGCTTTGCTGGTCTGTGCCGATCTAGGCAGTTTAACGTCGCTGTGCACGAGCTGGATGAGATCACTCCGGAGTCGCTAAGAGCTATGAGTAACGTCGTGGTTCTGTGTTCTACTGCAGGTGAGGGTGATTTCCCCAACAACGCTCATGCCTTCTGGGAGGGGCTCTCGGATCCTGAGCTTGAGGAGGGTTTCCTTGCCTCCACTAAGTTCTCGGTGTTTGGTCTTGGTGACACGGGTTATAAGCATTTCAACGCTGCTGCTAAGAATATTGAGAAGCGTTTGTTGGAGCTTGGTGCTGTGAAGTCCCAGGACATTGGCCTTGGCGATGATAAGGATGATGACAAGTACGAAACCGCTTTCGAGAGTTGGCTCCCCGACTTCTGGAAAATCCAGAATGCGCCGGAGTCCCTGATGAGCTAGAGATCCCGAGCCTATCGTGGAGCTGGAGTCGTTGCCAAGGACTTGGTCTGCAGTATCAGAGGGTCGCCCCCTAAGACTAAGACCATCACCCTCCCCAGAACGAGCGCATCACTG